TTGATTGTATTAACTTGATTCTTTAGATATCGAAAATTAAATAAAGAACATTATGTTAATTTAAGCGTACAGAAACGTTGCTGTTGTTCCAGCAAAGATCTTATTTTCACTTTACCGAGTGCCTAGTAGGTAATTTGCAGATTACCTAGGTAATTTGAGAAATAAAACAATTTTAGCAACTTTAACGGATCACCCTAGTTAATCTGCAGATTAGCTAGGTAATGCACACATTAACGACTTTCGAGCTTTAGCGGTAACATATGTACGAAATATTTGGTAAATATCATTATTTCTCACTTACACTGGCAAATGTCGATATTCAGCATGCACTGACGGTGAATGTTAAATAAAAGTATTTTTATTACGTTAAGACAAAAATGCAACTTTTTAATATGTGAAAATAGGAGAAAGCTTAAGTAACAGCACATGTAAATAAATTTGAACCTAAAACGAACAGTACATTCTTAATCAGAAGAGAAAAATAATACACAATAATAAACTTAAATTATGTGATTAACGTTATACAATCTTATTTATTGCAACAACTTAAACTGTTGTGGCACTTTGAATTGCACAAGAGTCCCTTGCTTTTACAACTGCATTTATTGGTGGAACACTTCTTTTTGCAATGACAGCGTGTATAGCCTTGCCCTCCACTTTTCGAATTAGCTGCAGCTGCTTCTCTCAGCGATATTTCTTGAAAAGAAATATAATCTATGGAAAGTAAAATAACTTTTCTTTACAAATTACGAATTGATTACGGGTATAAAGCTGCTTGAGGGTACCATTTTTATTTGCTAATTTATAAAAGTCGGAGTCTTCAATTCCAACAACAACCACCAACACATTTCGGGCATCTGTACGGCCACGATTGACATCAGGGACTTATATTCGTACGGTATCACCAATTTGAGCAGAAAGAAATGCTCTTTTTGAGGTTCGTAACATTTTCGTTGCTTGCAGTAGAAGATTCTCTTTCGCGGCCGCATTTTTATAGAAATAACTTCTTGTTGTTCAGTCAGGGCTTGGTATGAAGACGTGGTGGGTTGCAGCTCCTCTTCAATATTTTCCTTTGGAATATGGTATTTGTTATGGCCACTGCTCAAATTTTCTTCAAAAGTATTAACAATTTCTTCGACCTCCATCAAAGCTTATCTATGCTTGTCGACATACACCGGTGATTGTTCGAATGTATAATTTCTATTATGAAACATACAAAGGAAAAATACTTATTTTATTCAATTTTTAGACTTTTCAGACTATAAAATAAGACATTATTTAAAATATACTACAGTTATTTTGAATAGATATAACTTCGGTTATACTGTCAAATCTCGATATAGCGCCATTATTCGTTCGCTTCTGAAACAGGAACTAAACTAGGCATGACGTTAAGCTGAAGTATCTCAAACAATAAGAATTATATTTAGTAATGAGCTCTATACGCAAGTTTGAATTTTCGAGTTTGAAAGTTATATGCTTTGATGATAATGTCATTTGTATTGCAAAATCGTTCATTTAGTATTCACAGGTACTAAAGGGTTCTTTATTTAACCTTTATAGGTGCGATCCTTTTACAAGTATTCATTAATGCTTTGCTATGGCCAAGTACAGCACGTTACTTGACAGTGAAATATTTAATTTCACACATTAATATTGCAAAAACATATAACAAATTTGCTGAATATATTCTGAAGGTGTTGTGAAATGGCAAGATAGCTGTGTGTATCAAAGGCTTACTTCATAACGAAATTTATACAATGTAAAAATATATATATATATATANAGAGTCAAGAATCTTAAAACAAAAATTGACCTACTTTGGACATGTGATGCGTAAAGAAGTTTCCCTAGAGAAGACTATTATGCTGGGAAAAGTGGAAGGTAGAAGGAAGAGGGGAAGGCAACGGATAAGATGGATAGAAGAAATAGAAAAAGTCACAGAAATTAAGCTGGATTAGCTACGAGAGACAACAAGGGAAAGATCAAGATGGAGAAGACATGTCCATGAAGTCACCAGGAGTCGACGACGACTCGATGGAACTTAACAACAAATATTAATATGAATTAATACAATGCAATGGTGTAGTATCTTAAACATTTATTTATTAAATTTTTTTATTCTTGCAAATACTCTCTTTTTTCTTCTAGTTCGATCATAATCAATTTGATTTTCTTTGTCGCATGATGTTTGTCTTTTTATGAAATTTCTCTAAGTTTACATTTATACTTTCACAAAAGTAGTCTATTTGATCTTTTTTCTGTACCCTTCAAAAGTTCTTTCAATGTTTTAGTAAATGTTTTCAATGCAACATCCAACATGTCCTCATGTTTTTGATGATTTTTGATTTTTGCTGATAGAGCAATTATCAGAGAGGGTAATCTCTGATGTAGATGTCTGATATCTATAGTAATAACAACAGTTGTTGTCATTGAGCTGCAATTTTCAAATTGCAGACCTATAAATTCTTATTGTCCGTCTGTTTGTCTGTCTGTCCTTTAATCTCGAGAACAGAGTTTGATAGATGAAAGTCGAGACTAGATGTGGAAAG